CGGGCAAGCACACCGCACATATTGGCATTGACCGATAAGATCAAAAAGCCAACATAACTGCCTAATCCAACATGTTATGAGCAGAGAGGAGAGAAAATGAAACAAGTTTCCGCTGGGGAGTAGAAAGGGACTCTCATTAGAGATCAGAAGGCAAGTTTCTGAAGATAACCATCAAGGACACCGACGGTCACAACGAAGATTCAATTCAATTTTAAATAAAAGATTTTAATTCTAGTTGAAATTAATTTGATTTCGATTTTAAGAAAACTTCACAAAATTAAGGATGTACAAAAAGACTGGGTCGAGATGAAAAGCACAGAGACTCACATTCAGCTCGAAGAGACTAATCAAGGAAAAGAGGTGCTACATTTGGAATGAAAGCTCGGGGACTCATATCCAACCCAAGAGTTAACTGAAGGGAATAGGACGGAGGCCCATTCTAAGGGAAATTTTGAATTTGTTCCATTAAGAAGGAAAGCTCTAGGACTCACATCCAACTCAATTGGTAATGAAAGGAATCATAATTTAGGTATTGACCATAGGAATGGGAACTGAAATTTAAGTACCAACCTCGGAATGAGAATTGGAAGCCTTACTCCTTTTAAGGGGGTCTCACACTGTTGACCTCACTTTTGGTTGAGGTTTAGTATTTCCTCTTTAGTTACCTAGGGTCTAGCCATAGGACTTTTCTATTGACTATTCTTAGAAAATTAAAAAAGGAACCCTCACCATTAGAAATTCTACACTCCTCCTTTCTCAACTTGAAGTTCCACATATTGATCCTAACCTTTAGCACTTAGTAGGTGGGGTCAATATAGAGGAGCTCAAGGTGAGTTCCCATAGGACTGCTTGCCCTTAGGGTTGACCCTGGGTGCTGGAGCTAAGGCACTCACTTTCACTCACTCTCACTTACAATCCCTCACAACCTTAAACTCAATATTTGTTGACTTTGATCCATTGATCCTTTGGGAGACTCATGTAGTTGGTCCCCTAAACCCACTAGCCCTAGACTAGGGTTTAGCTAAGACAAGTACATAGAGGACCCAAATGGGGATTCCATTGGTCCATAGCTCATGTAGGGTGGTTGATACCCCAATCTTACCAAAATACCCAATTTGACCTTTCATCCCCAAACCTACCCAAATTACCTAAACACCCCCAAATCCCAAATTTGGTCAAAATTCTCGAATTCACCCAAAATATCCAAACTTGTTAAAAAATTATTTCAAACCTTTTGAAAATACCCAAGTTACCTAAAACTACCCAAAAAATCCAAATGTACCAAAATACCCCCAAAATTGCCAATATTACAAAAATAC